GTCGCCGCGCCGCAGCCGCCGGGCCAGGCGGCCGGGAGGGGGATCCGGTTAGGGCACCGCGGCGCCCGGAGCACAAACAGATCCCTGGAGAGAGCTGGCCGCCCGGAGCTGCCCGGAGCTCCCTCTCGTCCCCTCAGCCTGCAAGTCCAGGGCCTCCAAAACAGCAGCAGCCCCCAGGGGCTGCCGAGGCGCCGGGCGCCCTCCCGCAGCGACGGGGCTCAGCACGACGCAGCGCGAGGACGGGGTCGGGAAGGGGAGAAAGCGACAGGTCGGCTGCCGCGACGGCAAAGAAACGCGGGGTCTAAGTCAAGCACACGGAAACAGCCAGCAGTCCCGAGCTCCGTGATCCTTACCCCACATGCAGAGAGGAGCAGTAACTGCGAGTTGGCTAAAAATGACTTTTTCCCCCCATAAAAAGCAAGGAACATTTCCATGTTCATGAGAAAAACACTGGGTTTGAAATCCTTCTGGTAAGGAGGGGTTTGAGGCGGCAATAAAAAAATTAAAGCAATAAAAGAAGGGAAAGTGGGAAAGCTGATAGTAAGACGAGTATATTGGCAGTTAGAAAATGCAAAGCATTGATAAGAGGCATCAAGGCACCGATGAAAAACGCTGCCGTTGACAGCGCTGAAGAGAACTTTACAAATTGTTTTACTGTGTCAAGAACAGACGAAATCCCAGGAGCAGCCCGAGCCCAGCGCTGGGCAGGAACGGGGGCATCGCACAGACGAAAACGAAATAAACGCTGTTCTTCCTAACAACAAAAATTGTGATATATTCCCATCTTCCAGCAACAAAACACTTCCCATTCCACTTCAACATGTTGTTAAGCAACGAGTATTAATCTGCTGCTGCGGTTAGCTCGCAGTAACAGAGTACAAAAAGCACTGGCCTTGGAGCAGGAGCCGCGAACATCGCTGCTGGGAACACTTCCCATTCCACTTCAACATGTTGTTAAGCAACGAGTATTAATCTGCTGCTGCGGTTAGCTCGCAGTAACAGAGTACAAAAAGCACTGGCCTTGGAGCAGGAGCCGCGAACATCGCTGCTGGGAACGTCGGGGCGGCAGCAGAGCCAACCCGACGCCGATATTTACAGGGGGGAAACAGGCGGTAAACGCGGCCCACCCAACCGCTCCGACGAGCCCAGCGAAAAGCATCACCCATGCAGCGCCCGGGATTTCGCCGAGCGCGCGCG